AATTTTGCTGTTCTCGCAGTCGCAGTCGCATTCGCAATGACAGTTGCAGTGGCAACGGCCTTAGGATCCAATGGAATCCTAAGGATTCCTAGGGATTCCTGAGGCATCCTTAGGCATCCTTAGGAATCCATAGGAATCCTTAGGAAACCTCAGGAATCCTTAGGAATCCTGATTCCTTGGGATTCCTGAGGATTTCTAGGGAATCCTAAGGATTCCTAAGGATTCCTGAGGATGCTTAACTATGCCTACGGATTCCTAAGGATGCCGACGGATTCCTAAAGATTCCTAGGGATTCCTAAGGATTCCTATGGATTCCTACGGATGCCTCAGCCTGCCTCAGTTTCAGCCTCAGCCTCAGCCTGCCTCGGCTTGCCTGCCTCAGCCAGCCTGCCTCAGTTTCAGCCTCAGCCTCAGCCTGCCTCGGCTTGCCTCAGCCTCAGCCTGCCTCGGCCTCAGCCTCGGCCTCAGCCTCAGCCTCAGCCTGCCTCAGCCTCAGCCTGCCTCAGCATCAGCCTCAGCCTCAGCCTCAGCCTGCCTCAGCCAGCCTGCCTCAGCCTCAGCCTCAGCCTGCCTCAGCCTCAGCCTCAGCCTGCTTCAGCCTCAGCCTCAGTCTGCCTTCAGCCTCGGCCTCAGCCTCAGCCTGCCTCAGCCTCAGCCTCAAGCCTCAGCCTCACCTGCCTCAGCCTCAGCCTGTCAGCCTCAGCCTCAGCCTGCCTCAGCCTCAGCCTGCCTCAGCCTCAAGCCTCGCCTCAGCCTCAGCCTCAGCCTGCCTCAGCCTCAGCCTCAGCCTCATCAGCCTCTGCCTCAGCCTCAGCCTCAGCCTGCCTCAGCCTCAGCCTCAGCCCTCAGCCTCAGCCTCAGCCAGCCTCAGCCTGCCTCGCCTCAGCCTCAGCCTCAGCCTGCCTCAGCCTCAGCCTCAGCCTCAGCCTCAGCCTCAGCCTCAGCCTCAGCCTCAGCCTCAGCCTGCCTCAGCCTCAGCCTCAGCCTGCCTCAGCCTCAGCCTGCGCCTCAGCCTGCGCCTCAGCCTCAGCCTGCCTCAGCCTCAGCCTGCCTCAGCCTCAGCCTCAGCCTGCATCGGCGTGCCTCAGCCTCAGCCTCAGCCTGCCTCGGCCTCAGCCTGCCTCGGCCTTAGCCTGCCTCAGCTCGGGCATTCAAAATATGGCACAGGACTGGTGTTCTGGGAACACGAAGATCACGAAGTGGCCCACAGTTGGCTCTGGGCAATCAAAATATGGTACAGGAATCGTGTTCTGGGAACACGAAAAACACGAAGTGGCCTACAGTTGGCTCCGGGCATTCAACATGTGGCCTGGGAATGGTGTTCTGGGAAGACGAAGAACACGAAGTGGCCTACAGTTGGCTCCGGGCATTCAAAATGTGGCCTGGGAATGGTGTTCTGGGAACACGAAGAACACGAAGTGGCCTACAGCTGGTTCCGGGCATTCAAAATGTAGCCTGGAAATGGTGTTCTGGGTGGGAAGACGAAGAACACGAAGTGGCCTACAGTTGGCTCCGGGCATTCAAAATGTGGCCTGGGAACGGTGTTCTGGGAACACGAAGAGAAGGAATACATAGGAAACTATAGGAATCTATAGAAGTCCTGGGGAGTCCCTGGGTTCCCCGGCTTCTCCCGGCACCCGCCCAGACCCCCTTGGGGAGTCAAGATGTTTTATTTTGGGCCAACTAGAAACCTATCAGCCTTCGCTGTTAGGTAAAAAGCAACAGATTGCCAGACAAATTCTGGTGGCACAGCTTCACGGCGTTCGCCTTCTTGGAGAGTAATCCGCAATAGATCGTTGCCTTAAGGCGATCAATCTCGCTGAATGCTGGCGTAAGATGCTTGATCCGATTCCGATCCGACGTCCTCCTCCACCTGAGGTTCCAGATCATCGGGTACATCGGTAGGAACATCGGCCCCGTCATCAGTAGCAAACTCGACCTCGTCCTGAAGCTCCACATAGAAATACTGAAAAAGAGGTGGGCTCTTGATCGCAGGCTTCCTACGCGGACCCCAAGCCTGCGGCACACTCTCAAGAGATGGGGGAGCCCTGGCCGTGGCCTCAAGAGCCCTATAGCCCTCGCCCTCGAGCGCCTGCTGCCAGGATCGGGTGCCCTCCTGGGCCTGGCACGCTGGTCACGAGCCCTCGGCCCGCGTAGTATCCATCCCTGCGACCGTGCAAAATCAGAATCTAAAGCGAGCTCCAAACCGCAATGAGCTTCCAAGCATCCCCAGTGGTTGCAGAATCGGCCCTGACATATCTCTCGGCAAGCAGATGTCGAGCCCGTCGGTCCACCGCAGCAGAGTCGAGCGCACGACTCGAACCCAACGTGCAAGTGCACTCTGTGTTGTACGGCGTGGCAACTTCACCGTCTACCCAGTCCAGCCACCCTGACTTGGCTAGCTGCTGTGGCGCGCAATTCCAATCCCCAGCCGCAAGCTACGGGGCTTGGACCGTCTCGAGCACTGCCCCCAAGTTGGAGAACTTGTACACATTGCCACGGATGACGACCGAACTAGTAAGATATATGCCCAATACAAGCACATTTTGGCCACGAGTGCGAACTTGCATGCCAAGCAAGTCCTGGAGAATCGATGCCAGGTTGGTCGGTCTGCTCCAACTGCCGTAGCCCAACTCGGTCATGACGCGACGACGCGAGGTGACGAAGTGAAGTTGCTTTGTATCTCTTCCTGATGCCCATAGTGATACCACGCGCCTTGGCGGCGGAGGAAGTAGAGCAAGCTGCTGACAGCATGCCCACGTACACCGCACCACGCCACTCGCCGATGTCGCTGACTGGGACATTCTCCCGCCAACGCCCTCAGCACGTCCTCCACCAAGTCCCTGTGGGGCAGAACCGAGGATGCCCCAGCCTCCTGACCCAGTGTTCGGCGCACCAGACACTCCAGCGATTCCGCCGTACGGGGTCACCCTGGCTACGTACACGGAGCTAGGTTCACGCTCGTGGTCAGGGGACGCGCGCAGTGGGGCAGTCTCCTCCTTCTCTGGGCCCGGGCGTCCCGTAGAAGACGTCGCAATAGGGCCAACAGTTCTGCACAGTGACTGCCCCTGAGAAACAGACGTGGTCGATCTTGAACTTGTGCTCGGTAGAGTGGGATCGATCATTCGACCTCCGTCACGCGACGGACCACCCAGGCCGAGGGGAGCCTGGAGGCTAAAGGCTCGACTGGGCGGCCGCCTCCTGGCGCGCCGCCGCCAGCGTGGCCGCCGCGTCCGCCTCCAGCTCGGCGGCGATGGCGTCCGTCTTGGCCTTCCCCGCTGCGTGCGACCACCTGGGGCTCCCCCGCCGGCCGCGTTGCAGGCGTCGCGGCCGAGGGCTGCCCCCCCCCCCCCGCCCGGAGGAGGCGGCCCCCCCGCGCCAGCGGATTCCTCGCCTCCTGTTGCCGCAGCACCAGGCGGGGAAAACCTCCGCTGCATAGCGTCGAAGAGTGCCTTCTTGACAGCAGGCGTGCACCTCTCCACCTCCTCAAGGTCGGCCTGGTTCATAACCCCATCCGAGTTGTCAAAATCAGCTCCCAAGTTACGTGATATCATAGACTCGTCCAGATCGTTGGACGTGTGCAACGCGCTCAAGTCAATGATGGGGGCCTTCTCCCTGACTGCCACTGGCGACGTCTGAGGCTTGGGCAACATGGCTTTGAACAACTCCGCCCGCTCATGCTCAGCCTCCGCCAAAGACTTGGCGGCCTATTGCAGCAGGCCGGTGTTCTTCTCCATGTCCGATGCCAGCTTGACTTGGACCCTCTTGGCCTTATCAAACGTGGCTTGGGCCCGCTGCACCTTAGCAGAAACCTCCATGACCATCTGGATAGTGTGCTGCTTGGGCTGCCGAGCCGCCTCGGCCGCCGACGCCATCAGCAGTAGCGCCTGGGCTGTTTGGGCCGACTCCGAGTCAGGCTGGGCCTTGATGAGCGCTTCCAGCTGGGCCGACAAATCGGCCGAGCTGCTGCCCTGGCCACAACCTTTGCCCTTGCCCTTGCCCTTCTTCAAGCCCTTGTCCTTGGTCTCCTCAACGAACGGAAAGTTCGGGAAAGCCGATACACACAGACCCGCATTTGGAGGAGAAAGAACTTATGTTGCCAGTTTTGTGATCATCCACTTCCTAGTATGCGACATCTTTGGAGTGAATGCCATCATTTTCAAGCCTCCCGAGATCATCTTTCTCAGCTTCATGGGTTTCCACCTGCATTTTCGACGACTCAGCCGAGAGTCACCAGCAAAAGCGGATGGGTAACACGCAGCTCGCATCCATCATTCGACATGCGGGTCAAGATGCAGCTTGCGGCGGGCACCCTCGGCATCGAGATCTGCCGCGTGAACTTCGAGCCAGGCCCTGGCCATCCTCACTAGGGGCCTGCTGAGCTTCTACCTCATTCAGTTCAGGTGTTGCTCTCAACTTCTATATATATTGCGGTGCACGGCCAGCTTGAGGTCAAGGCCCGTCTCCTACAGGTCGTCGAGCTGCAGCGCACCTTGACATCGCCATGACCTGCCTGGGGAGGCTGCGGCGGCGGCGGTGGCGGCCGCGGGGGCCACCATGCTGCAGCCCTCGGAGGAGATGCCATCTGCGGCCACGGCGACGGGCGCCCCCTCTCCTCGCTGTGGTCTTGGCGTGAGCGGCAGCACAGGCTGGAGAGGCGGTCACGGATCGACGCAATTGATGTCTTGCGCCTTGCGCATATGGCGCGCCTTACGTCCCATTGCCTTACGTCTCCACGAGGAGAGGAGGCTGATGATGACGAGGAGGAGGAGGAGGCGAAGGAGGAGGAGGAGGCGGAGGAGGAGGGCGGACGAGGAGGGCGGAGGAGGAGGGCGGACGAGGAGGGCGGAGGAGGAGGAGGAGGAGGAGAAGGAGGAGGAGGGGAGGCGGAGGAGGAGGAGGAGGGGGAAGGGGGGACGGGGGAGGATGGAGGAGGGAGGAGGGAGGAGGAGGGAGGATCCTCTCCTGCTTCCTCCCCCTTCCCCCCCCCTTCCCCGAAGGGTGTCCGACATGGAGTTCCTGGCCGTGCTGACCGCCGAGTGCCAGGAGAAGGCCGAGGCCTGGCACCAGAACTCGCTCACGCGCGCGGGAGAGCTGCGGGCGCTGCAGGAGGCCATCGACGCGATAAGCCCCAACGGGCTCGTCCAGAAGGCCCTGCCTTTGCGCCCCCTCTCGGGCAAGGGCAACCTAGTGCAGTGCACGACGGTGCAAGCTAGGGAGGGGGGTACGCCCCATCCCGCCTCCTCCTCCTGCTCCTCCTCCTCCTCCTCGTCCTCCTTCTCCTCCTCCTCTTCCTCCTCCTCATCGCCGCTCCTCGCCCTCCCGTCCTCGCCTGTCCTCGCCCTCATCCCTGCCCTCCCCGCCCTCCTCCTCCTCCTCCTCGTCATCCTCCTCCTTCTCTCCCCAGGTGGGGTGGGTCCTCCTTTGCTGCGCCTGCCCCCAGCTGGCGTTGGCGCAGCACCTCCTCCGAGCTTCGCCCAGGTGGGGCAGGGGAGCCCGGTTGGGTCCCTGGTCGCCCGGTTGGGTGGGTGCCCAATCCCCATTTCGGCGCGCCTCCCCTCTGCAGCTCCCCTTTTCCGTCCCCCCCCCCTCTTCGCCTCTCCGCCCACCTTCCCTTCCCTTCACCCATCCTGTTCCCTCCGCACCGCTTCCCCCCATCCTCCCCTGCCATCCCCCTCGCCCTCCTCTCCCTCCGGCTGCCTGTCCCCCCCCTCTTCCACCACCTCCCTCTTCTCCGGCCCTGCCTCCTCCTCCTCCTCCTCCTCCTCCTCCTCCTCCTCCTCCTCACCAGTTGCACAGTACGAGCGCGACTCTAGCATTACACATTATGGGTGCTACTACTCTCCTCTCTCTCTTGACTCTGTCCGGGAGATGGTCTGCCCTCTCCGCGTATTCATGATTTGCAACGAAGACTTGGACAACAGTATTTGTCTTATGGTGTTGTTGCAATCAGACTGCGCTCGGTGTTTCAGAAGTGCTACCTCTGCAGCGTAGGCCTCATTTTCGGATCGGCGCGCTCTGCTTCCGTCGTTCAGAATGCGATTTATCCGTGTCAGTACTGGGGTATTTCACATTGGCATACAGCCGCAGTGAACAAACATAATATGTAGATCAGCATCACCTCATAATTACCCCAGTGCGACCTGGCCTAGAAGTTGGAGCCCCTAGGAAAGCAGCATTAGTTGCTATGCCATGCCATGCCATGCCATGCTATGCTGCGCTATGCTATGCTATGATATGCTATGATATTATATGCTATGCTGCGCTATGATATGCTATGATATGCTGAGCTATGCTATGTCATGCTGCGCTGTGCTATGTTGCGCTATGCTATGATATGCTATGCTAAGCTGCGCTGTGTTATGATATACTATGCTATGTTATGCTATGCTGCGCTGTGCTATGTTATGATATGCTTGGTTAGGTTATGCTATCATATGACATGATATGCTAATGCTGCGCTATGCTAAGCTAAGCTCAGTTAAGTTAAGCTAAGCTAACCCTCTAGGCAGAGCCTAGGTAGGGACGTACACCCATGCTATGCTATGCTATGCTGCGCTGCGCTGTGCTGTTCTGCGCTATGCTATACTATGCTATGCTATGTTGCGCTATGCTTTGCTATGCTGGGCTATGCTATGCTGTGCTGCGCTATGCTATGCTATGCTGTGCTCTGCTATGCTAAAGCTCAGCGAAGCTAAGATGAAGGTAAGCTAAGCTAAGATAAACCTGAGCTAGGATGAAGCTAAGCTAAGCTAAGATGAAACAGCTAAGCTAAGATGAGATAAGCAACGCTAAGCTAAGGGGACGTAACTGGGGGAACCGCGGGGCGGATCCTGGGGGAACCGCCCGGGGCGAGTTGCACTGCCCGGCCCTTTAAGCACACAGGGTAAGAACCCTTCTAGGCAGAGCTTTGGTCGGGAATAATAAAGGTACCATGCCATTCAAACACACTTCACACGATTCAGCACAGTACCGCTTCGCACATATGTTGGCACAAACCATAAAATAGCACGTTTGGCTGAAGTCGGATTACATATTGAACATATCAGCTCTTTGCCCACATCGTCAGGTCGAAATGGATGTATGCCATGACAACGGTTACCTGGCGTCTGAGTACGTTCATTGTGAGATTCACCTTGGGAGTTCCAGTCGGCAAGACGTCTCTTGGGGCCAAACACACGTGCTGCAACTCCGCATAAGTCTCTGCCCCAGCCCAACGTCGTCCCTTTCTCACCACATTTCGTATGTTCAAGCCGTACTTCTCCATTCTTAGAGGGGCCCGGGGCGTGGCCCAACTCATGATAGCCCTGTGCACGAGCTTCACGGTTGTGGAGGAGACGCCTGCATTCACGTAATATTTCTTTACCTCGAAGTCCGATCAAATCTGCGAGCTCCTGCTCAGTCCATTTGACAGCAGCTCTGGCAGTGGCAACATGTGTGGCCTTCTGAACTTTCTTGATGATCCCTGCCTCCCTGCCTCTTGCGCTGCATGTACAACACGTGTGACAAGATCTGCGTTGCGTATCGTGTCACTTATGCTTTGTGAGAGCTTCGGTACGGTCCATGTCGGCGGAGGGAATGTTCCACACAGCGGTGGAACCCGAATCCCATCATTGTTATCTGTCGTAGCCAGCGCCACAGAGTACAACATTCTCATAGTGAGCTCATGCTGCACAAAAGTCTGGCGACACTTCAAACCAGGGACCAATCGCATGCCCAGTGGAGCAAGTGTTCCCATCCAAGATCGCGTGTCCCTCGGTGCCAACCTGCAACGACATAAGATGGCCATGCGAGCTGCTGCTGTCGAGAAGTATCTCGCCATGCGCTCGAGCGTGGCCGTCGCTGTATTCTCTTAAGGGGAGACCAGGGAGAGCCCAGTGCTGACGGTGAAGTCAATCGCGAGCTCTGCCCAGGTGACTGAGAGCGGCACCGTGGGTGCGTCGTCAGCTGCCTATTGTAGTTGCATAAAGTACCAGATCACTGCAGGAAATAACGCCTGCAGGTACTCCCCAGTAGACGACGTGACCTTCTCAGGGATGTTCGGGGCGAACTTCCACGAATAGAAGTTCGGAGTGACAGGGTCCCACTGGTAACCAGGGGAGGCCATCACAGGACTACAAGTCAAGAGGTTGTCTGTCGTCGGGTTCAAGTCCATAAATTGGCATGAACTGCTCGCGGCACTGGCACGCGCAGCGCCTGAAGAGGGGGCTGCGCTGGATGATGTTGCTGGTGCTAGACTCGTGCTGGCCGTCGTAACTGTTGAGGTCGAAGTCGCTGGTAGTCGTCCTGGTGGCGGTGCTGACTTGCTGCGGTACCTTCGCGGTGGTTCAACATCGAGCACAGCCGTAGGTGGTAGTGGTGGGCGTGCCATGGTAGGATCTGCGTCGGACATGCGCGGCGACGGTGAGCCTGGTAGTTGCAGTGCCGCGCCAGGACTTCGCGTCCGAACGCCTTCCGTGACGACCGAACCTGGTAGCTGCAGTAACACACCAGGATTTTGCATTCTGACTCCAGTAGTGTCCTGACGCGGACCCTGCGTTGTCGTAACTGTTTGTGATGGTTCATCTCCGTCGCCCATACCAAGATGCGCCCAAGGGTCATGTTCATCATCTTCGCCGCACTCAAAGTGGCCTTCTCCTTCGCCCTGTGCGTCAAGGAAGGCCCGAGCATGGGCACAACGTTCGTCATGCTTGCCACGACCAAGCTCGCGCAAGGCAAGGGCCCTGCGCTCTAGGACCAGGACCGCTTTCAGCTGGGCGGTGTAGCAGAACTTCTTATATTGCAGGCGCTGCCGGCGCAGTGCTTGAGGCGCTGCATGGAGGCGAGCAGCACGCGCTGCACCAACATCTGCCTGTTGATTGCATTCCCACAAGTGTTGATCAGTATCGGGTGCATCAGCGCGCTTCCTGTGGGCCTTGATCTTCTGCGCTCTGAACGCGTCTCTGCCTTTGGCCTCAACTCCAGTAGCGCTAGCCGCCCATAGTCACGACGCTGCTTCGGCCATGTCTGCTGGCCACGAAGGAGAGCTGCAAGCTGTCGAGCACAATAGTCCGAGTCCGTGAGGTACAGCCGCCGGCGCCAGGCCCATGGCACAAAATGTCGCAGCGCTGCTACCTCGGCGCGCTGGGCACCCTACGAGACGCTCCGAGGAGCGACCTCCGCATTGCACGCGTGGCCATGTCCATGGTAGAGGACATGCCCTGACCGTCGGAGGCGGGGGTCCGACGCTTGGCCAGGGCACGCATCATCTCCCGCCACGACTAGGAAGCCATCTTGTGATATTAAGCTGTCCTGCTCTCCCGCTCCAACTTCATATCCCCCATCAGCATGGCGAGGTAGAAGTGGGAGGTCAGGCTCGTCAGGCAATAGTTCAGCTGTGACGTTGTCGTGCTCAGGGCGATCAGGTAGAAGACCACACTGTCGTAGGCATACTGGTTGTCCTAGGATCGCTGGCTCGTCGCACTGCTCATGCAACGGCTCGCGGCACTTCTCCCAATGGACAAATGCATGCATACAAGATGCGATCAATCTGTTCATCTTCAGCTCCGCAAAACACAGCAACGATGAGTGTCTTTGCCTGTGATGAGGCGGAGCCTGTGGCTTGTGATCGTTGCTCCTTGCAGGAACACTTCCACATGCGGGAGTTGAGTGCGCGCCAGCATTGGAAAAGGCAACGTCAGTAGCATTCGGTAGTAGAGGGGCCTGCTGCTTAGGCCCCTTAGCGGCACCATCGCCACCTGGAAGAAGATGGCGCTCCGCTTCGCGAAGCATGGCAGCAGTGATGTGATAATTTATCCCGATCTGCACGCCTTGCAGATCCTTCCGTCTTTCCAATGCGTCGCCCGTGCGCCGGATCCATCGTCGCAGGTATTCTCTCAGAGCATGATACCACCATCCATCTGGATGTTTGGTGGGATGAATCAGTTGGCCACCAGCACGCTTGCAACAATCGAAGTTTGTCCAGGTCCAGCCCAGTTCGCCGATCGTCTCAATGATGCGTACCAGTGGTCCTCCATCATTCGCTTTGGCGTTTCGAATAGCATGTCCACGTCTAGATTTGTTGGCGCATAAATTCCCAGGCCTGGCATGCCACAGAAAAAAGACGCGGTGCATAAGTACTTGTGAGTAGCCTCCTCGCCATAACAAGTGGC